TCAGGAAAGAGGTGCCCACTTCTGTTTCTCTATCTTGAGCTTCAGTTGCCAAGTTGGGCAGCTAGGTGCCTTCTCCATGATAACAGGTGTCTAACCCTCCTATGCTAGTTTACAGGACCCCTGTGATCAAGGGTTCATATAGATGTAAGATCTCTCAATATTTTGCATAGGGGCAGAACATGCCCACGCCATGTGTGGAAGCCCTGCCAGAGCAGGGATTGTGCTTATGGTATTGCTTGCTCCAAGTTAGCTTCAGGGCAGGCAGTTGTGATGTCTTGGCTTTGGGCATTGAGGTTGACTTGTGCAAGACAGGAGAGAGATGCTCTTTTCTGCTGCCCAGGCCCTCCCAGTGCATAGAAGACCAGCACTCCCAAACAGACCCTCCACACCACTTTTTGCAGAGGACACTGTGCTCTGGTCCCTTTGGAGGGGATATGCAGTGCAGAGGAATTCTGCTCCCACCCTTGGCTCCTGCAGCCTGGCTCTCTCTAATGCATATCAACAGTTGAGATTTTTTTATTTATTTATCTGTTTAAGGTTGGGCTTCTGTGAATCTGCTGGGAAAGAGAGACTCTGAAATGAGCTGCTTAAACTTTTCACACACTTCTTTGTAGCCTTACATTCGTGAAAATAAATCCTAGGGACACAAGTACATTACGATATACAAACTCACCCTCTGAGCTCCAGTGAGTCTATTCTTCCACTGCAGCGCAGTACTGTGAAATCAGAATATATTTCTTATCTTCAAAGCAATACTATTCTGTGCTGAAGCACCTTCTATTTCCCAGCAATCTCTCTTCTTCCACTGCTTTTGTTTTTAATTGACTGTCTTTTGACAGTCAGAAACAAATTGAAGCCATGGAAGTAAAAAAAAAACAAACCTCAAACCAAAACCCCCACCCCACAAGCTGATTTGTGTCTGGTTAAGGTGAGATACTTGTCACCTCCTAAGAGGACTTTTTTTGGTTTTCCTGAGACTTTGTGGTAAAACACACTCTGAAGTTGTGCTCTAGATTTAATTTTTTATTATTTTTGTTTAGCTCAACATGTCTTGGAGAGATTAAACAGAAGAGTATCTGAAAGTGAAAAATCCAGTGCCAGTCACAGATAGAAGAACGTGATATGTCTCCTGTTAGTCCCCTTAATCCCTGACAAGTTTATTCTTACAGGTAATTTTTTCTCATTGCCATTTAGGATGCTGAAACAGAAGTTGATTTTATCTTAGCATGTAAGATAAAACCTAAAACTTCTATCTTTCTTAATCTCAGACAGCGCAGTTTTAACTTAAAAACATGAAAAAGTGTAGGACGATGAACAAGAAGTGGCTGGTATCCTTGAATGTCAGCTGAGTGGTTCTGGCTGATGCTTTTGGGCAGGACTAGGGTGCTCTGTGGCTTGCCCCTGTGCTGGGCAGAGAGCATGGCTGGGCCAGGCTGGGAGGGCAGGCAGAGCGGTGTGAGTGTTGCTGTGGGTGCCAGTGGTGAAGGGGGCTGCAGCCACCACTTCTGACTTCAGAGAGGAGGAGGGCTTGAAGAACATTTTTTCCTTATGTCCTTCTGTAGGTAACAATGGTGTTTCATTTTCTCATCTTGGCTTTTCTTTTTAAAATCACTTTTATCTCCTCGAATGCATGATTTCTGTGACAACTCTGGACAGTCTTCACCTCCATGGGCTCCGTTTGCTGTTTTCTCACTTCTTCTAGTTAATGGCAGGTTGGACAGATGAGGGACTGTATAGCCTATCAAACAATTTACCTCTTTAAACTAAGCTTAGCCTCTAAAAGGCAAGAAAAGAAGAAATAAGTTGAGCTGCACAACAGAAGCTGCAGAACTTCCCTGAATTAAATGCGCATTTCCCTGACAATGCCCTAAAGCCGAATTATAGGAAAAAAAATAGGAATAAAACAAGCATGTGTTATATTTCCTCTGAGAATTTCTAGCCTTCATCCTCCACTGTCAAAAGATTTCTGAGCCTGCACTGCCTTTATGTATTTCTCCTCAATCCATAGCATATGCCAGTGACTGTAAGGCTGAACTGGAAATGTTCTCTCCTAAAGAATCCCTGCACAATTTAGCTCAGGCATTATGTCTTCCTGTATCTTTCTACTGCAGCTTACAGAGAGTGGCAAAGGCAGTGATCAAACTCTCAGCCATTTCCCAAGTGAGAAGACAGAGCACGATTTGAATCACTTGCAAGATGCTTCTATTTCCATAAAGTTAATGTAAGCCTTTCAGTGCTAAATATGGAAGGTAAATTGTTGCTGCCTCTAGTCTATGATATCGCTTGGGTTGCCATTGCAAGGAAGGGACAACTTTTAACAGCAGCAGTTGTGAGTGATTAGCGAGTCCCCACCTTTTAAAATCACAGCATTACAATCTGCCAGAATGCAGGAATTAGGCACTTGGTCCCTAATGCCTCTCATGGCTCCCATTTCCTCTCTGGTATCAATTTAGATTTGGCAATTTGTTTGGCATTTTATCAGTGACAGCAGAAAAGTGTTAGAATCTAGGTCTGAAGTGGTTCCTTCTGAACTCCATGTGGTGGTGCTTGTTTGGTTTGTTGGGGGGTTTTGGGTTTGTTGGTTTGTTGTGTTTTGTTTTTTTTTTTGGAGGGGGGGTGGGGTGCTTGGTTCCTTTCCTTTCCTTTCCTTTCCTTTCCTTTCCTTTCCTTTCCTTTCCTTTCCTTTCCTTTCCTTTCCTTTCCTTTCCTTTCCTTTCCTTTCCTTTCCTTTCCTTTCCTTTCCTTTCCTTTCCTTTCCTTTCCTTTCCTTTCCTTTCCCCTTTCCTTTCCTTTCCTTTCCTTTCCTTTCCTTTCCTTTCCTTTCCTTTCCTTTCCTTTCCTTTCCTTTCCTTTCCTTTCCCCTCCTTTCCTTTCCCCTTTCCTTTCCTTTCCCCTTTCCTTTCCCCTTTCCTTTCCCCTTTCCTTTCCCCTTTCCTTTCCCCTTTCCTTTCCCCTTTCCTTTCCCCTCCCCTCCCCTTGTGCTTCTGACCTTGGTTCTAACCATGTATTTCCCCCTGTACTCACTAGACACAGAATGACACAGAATCACCCAAAATGTGCCAGATGTGGATTCTTTTTTCATTTGGGTTTTTTTTTCCTTTGTTGCCTCAGAGGATGCCTCCCTAGAGAGTGGTGATCATGGGCTATCTCTCAAACACTGCTCCTGACCCAGTCAGTGAATCAGAGATATAGCTGACTGCATCTCTGAATGCAACAGCTAAAACACCAGTGTGTTATCAGCATTAATCTCAGACTAAAGCCCAAACACAGCTCTGCACCAGCTACCAGGGAGAAAATTAACTCTACCCCAGCCAAAACCAAGCTGCTTCTCACTGGATAAAGGATGTAGATCACCTGCACGCCCTCACTCTCCAAAGCCTGGGTACATTTCTTAGACCAGTTTGCCTGTCGGACACTTTGTCCTCTGCAGTTGTTGCCTTAGCCTCACAAGTGATCACCATTCAATCTAATTCCCATGAAGACTTTGTCCTTGATAATCCTAATAGATCTTATTTTCCAGAGCCTCACTTCTCTGATGGTGGGAAAGTCCCCTAACTGCCAAACTGCGTATACAACCCATGAGTGCCCAGCCTTTGTACTTATGCATTCATGTTTTCTGTTAGCTTTTCTCCGTTCATTGCCCAGCTATGCTTTTGCAGTAAATATCTTATTTCAGCCTTCATCATACTCAGCTAAATAAGCTAAACTGTTAAGTTTCATCTGTAAAAGAAGCTCCTCTTTAGTCTAGTCATCTCAGTTATCCTTTATTCATCTTTTTGAATACACGTGACTGGAATACTACATGATCAAGATAAGGCTGTTTCACTGCAGGAATCATTTTGTATTGTTTGACTCCAAACAAAACCTCTTAGCTTTTAATTCACTTTGAAAAATCTTTTGCTGTTTTGTTTTTTTTTTTTGTGGGGGGGTGGGGCGGTGGGGTTGTTTTGCTTTTTTTTTGATTTTTTATTTTTTTTTTTCCTAATTGGGTAGGTCTCTCCAGAAACTGCTTTTGAGTCTTTTGTTTTGGCACCTGTATTGATAAAACAATTATTATACTGCTAGATGTTTTCAGATGTTGTTTGCTTAGTCACTGTATTTACAAGGATTCTTAAAACCTTGAAATGCTTCTGTTTTCTGCTGATATAGCCTTCCTGCAGCGCTAAAATGCCAATTAGGCCAGAATCCATGACCTATCAATCTAAATGGGAGAGACACCTTAGTACACATGAAGATGTAGGTCCCTGTCATGATGCTAGTTTCATAAGCTGTTTGGAGTGTGTCTAAATGCAGTCAGTCCCTCCATACATTGGGTTAGCATATGCCATTTAAAGTCTCAATATTGCAGCTGCTAAAGACAGAAATGGGGAGGAAGAGCTCTGTCCTGTTGCAGACTGGATTGAAAAGCCCTTTGGTTTTCACGCACTAGCAGCTGTTGCAGCTTTCAAAGCCACAGTTCCGAGAGCTATCCCCACCCTTGTAGACATAACTGGGGGTAATACAGCTGAGCAGGAAATATCATGGGGAAGAGATCTTCAGACCTGTCCTGTTTAAAACTCCAGAATTCATTAAGAATTTGGTCACAGGATATCTGGCATTGCAGGTGCTTGCAGATTTATACATGAATATACATATGCATGAAAGAGGAATGCTTCCTCTTTCATGCTATCTCTCTGCAAGTGCTGGTTATGTGAATACAATCGTTTTCATGGACACTGGAAAACAAGCAATTAGGAAGTAAAAGCCCTTCTGCTGTCAATGGATGAAGTGACAGGAACCTTAATTATGCTTGAATTCACAGTAATAAAATATTCAGGAAAGGAGAAAATTATCAGGGTATGAAAAAAGAGGCTTTTTTTCCTTATTATGTTGTGAGATTGTTCTGGACATGGGCCAAATCTACTTCGCAGTGATGCTGATGTAAATTAACAGAAACAATGTTTACTCACAGTGAAACCTTAACTTGCATCATTGTAACAGAAAGCAGAGCTTGACCCAGTGGGCTGGTGATTTTGACCGGCTGCCTAGTTGCATGTAAAGCAGTTGGACCAATTGTCCTCTGTATCTTTGAAACCTGAATTCAAGGCCAGGGCTGAACTGTAACCTTAATTTACTGCTGAGAGAGGCTGCACAATGCCAGAGAGAAATGCAGTCCCCAAATACCTTTGTATTGCAGATGTATAAGTCCATAACCAGATGTCATGACTTGAGTCTCCCTCAGTGGGAGTGAGAGGGAGCTCTGCAATCCAACCAGAAAAAAACATACGAAACGTAAATGCAGCCAACTGGTCACTGATTACATCAAAGTGAGTTAGAGAGATGCTGATCAGAGAGTTCTGTCTAGAAAGCATACTTCAAACAGCTATTCGTTTCTTGTCTGATCTCTAGTCACTTTCTAAATCATTATAGTTTACAAAAAAATTTCAAAGCTTCTTTTTGAAGTGTTAATTGAAATGTACAGGGCAACATTTTCAGCAGTGAGTGGTTTGCAAAGTTTGAAACTGTATCTGTCACCCTGTTTTTGCTTGGTGGCTTGTAAAAGGGCAGATAATTGACCACTGAATTGAAAAAGAAAAGGAAAGAAGCAAAACTGAAATGTGGTGGGATTGCCAGAGCTGGGGTCAGTTCCTAGGTGACATGAGAAAGTCACTTCAGTCTGGTGCAAGTACTGGAGGCTTTTTGGGGTGGTAAGTGCGAGATCAGTTTATAAGAAATGATATTAGAAAGTATGGTTATCAAAGCTTTTGTTAAGTGTAATGGCTTGTGGAAGGCTAACCCATATAAAATATTCCTTAAGGTATTACTTAATTAGAGCTTTATGTTATATTCCTGAACTTGTGTCGTGGTTTAAACCCAGTCAGGTAACTCGTTCACTCACTCCCCCCCTTCTTTCCCTCCCCCTACTCCCAGAGGGACGGAGAGGAGAATCGAAAAGAATGCAACTCCCACGGGTTGAGATAAGAACAGTTTAGTAACTAAGGTATAACACAAATCACTACTGCTACCACCAATGATAATAATGATAAAGGAAATAACAAGGGAAGAGAATACAAAACCTCACCACCAGCTGACCAATAACTTGCCCCCCCAGCCCCGACCAAGCACCGACCGATACCTCCTCCAACCCTGCAGTCTCCCAGCCCTTCCGGCTAACTCCCAGTTACATCCTGGGCATGACGTGCTGTGGTATGGAATACCTCTTTGGTCAGTTTGGGTCAGGTGTCCTGTCTCTGCTTCCTCCTGGCTTCCCCTCCTCCCTGGCAGAGCTTGAGGCTCACAAAGTCCTTGGCCAAACCAAAACACCACTCTTATCAGCTCTGTTCCCAGGCCGAAAGTCAAAACACTGCACTGCACCAGCTACCAAGAAGGAGAAAAATGACTGCTACTGCTGAACCCAGGACAACTTGTCAGCTAAATGTCTCACTGAATCACTCTGGAGTTACTCAAAAGCCAGTTGTTTCAGCAATTGACTGATGCTGGGGAAATGTGAATTTTCAATATACCCAATGCTGGTTTTTAATAGGCATAATTTTAATCAGAACTGCTCCTAATTTCTTAGCTCACAAACTGGGATCCTGAACCTAACTGGATAAAAATAAGTTATTTCTATAAGAAGAAGACCAGACTTTAAAGATAAACCGTGAAAAATCTTGTCTTAGTAAGTTAAAGCAATCCACGGATTTTTTCCTACTCTTTTTTTTTTCTTTTTTTCTTTTTTTGAGATTGTAATTGAAAAAGAAAAAGAAACTAATTGCAACTGTTTGTGCAAGATCCTGGGAGTACCCAGCTGACTGACCCATCCACTTATTTATAAATTAAAACTAAAGGAGCACAAGATACTTTGAAAGTTAACAGTCTTTAAATATTGAGTATTTTCTCTATACAATCATATTGTCTCTGTTTTCCAGCAGTTTTCTGAAAAAGCCCTTTCAAGTACTTTGTATACTGTAACAATAGGATAATGCAAACCTGTAGTAACAAAGCTGTTTATTCTGGCTGGGCAAAACAATGCTTTAAAAAGGTTTCTAAAAATGGTTTTATTACATGACCTTTGAAGAACAGACAAAGATAAACCAGATAATATAAACAACAAACAGGGAGAATTGAAGATGCCAAAGAAAGCCAGAGAATCGCTCATCTGATTTGTTACAGTGCCTTTGCTGAAATGCTTAAAATAATATGTTGATAATAAAATTTTATTATTATTTTTTTCCACAAGATGTTCCTTTGAGTAAAATAATGCGTAAGTACTAATGGTATAGAACTGAGCCTGTGCTTGGGTGTTAGGCAAGATGAAAAGACTTCACTCTGCTTTCCAAATGCTCTTCTTTTTTACAGTATTTATTATGTGGAATAACCCTCTTTAAACTTTGAATGAAGCAGTGTTTCAATCACAGACTGGCTTGTCTGAAGAAAAGGTCAGTCTCTCTAAATGTCAGCCAGCACTTCCTTTTGTATTTATATTGAATTCAGTGATTTATCTGGTGTGTTTCCCAGCAGATCTGTTTTTATACAACTGGGTTTAAAACATAGGCAGTGAGCTGGAGCAGGTTAATGAACAGTAGATGTGGGTACAGGATGATTTGGAAAAACTGCAATTTTCTCAGCTCTAACAGGTTGAAATTATGTATTTTAGGTATTTCTTTTCTGCAGTATCTGCATATCTCATTTCACCAAATCCCAACAGCACTTTCAAACAGGGAGGTGCTGCTTCCTTCAAGTGGTATATGTTGATGAAACTTAGACCCTCAAATCCACTAAAATCAGAGAAGTATTGAAGATGTGACAGGTTTGCCTTTAGAAGACATCTCCATCTGAGATATTGTCACCTATGTCTCCCTTTGTGGTCACTGAGAGGATATGACTAAGGATATCTTTTCTGAGAAATATCAAAATCATATACAGTATTGAGTCACTTTAAAAAATAGGTGCATGAGTTAAGATCCTCTCCATTTAGGTACATGAATTATACTCTGTTCTTGGCATCTAATGGAGCATACCTCCAAAAGCTAAAATTCACTTTATAATTAACAGGGAAAAGTAAGTGCCTTTGAGAACCTCCAGAGAGAAATCCAATCTGCTGAAACGAAGGCAACCAAATTACAAGCCTGGTTCCCAACCTGTGTAAATAGCTGCTATATCCCTTCACTGAGGTAATATATCAAATAGATAGTAAAGGGCAATAGTGCCAGCTAAATTTAGTAGTCTCCACCTATACATGGTGTCCAAATATACTATAGACACTGTAGGGTGTCCTATCTAGTCTTCAGTTGATGCTAGGGAAGAGCATGGGTCTCCCATAGATCCAGTGTCTTACCTGCACTATCACATGGACATCTTCAGTACCTCCTCCAATGGCACTGCATACATGTCTGGGGAGAGTTGAATCATGCCCTAGGAATGACTCATCTTGACTGAACTGAGATTTCTGCACAGTGGAGGTCTACATTATCATTAGTTACCCACAGTGGTCTTTATAGTCCTGAGAGAAACTGGCACTTTAAGAGTGCAGTTCATCAACGTGTTTCGAGGTCTACAGGAGTGCAATAAATTGCACCCTATAAGTGACCTTTCTCTTCACTGAATATAAAGGGAGTGGAAAGTTGTCATCTTAAATGTATATCATTTAAGATTTTAAAAAATCCTATGCTCAGTAATTGATTCAAAAACAAATCAATAATATAAAAACAACTGGCTTTCTTATTGTTAATACCCTAGGTCAATCTGTCTTGACATGCTTCTCTTTAAGGAAATTGTTTATTAAAAAATCAACAAAATATGAGGGTGGTTTAAATAATCCTATGCCTTTCTGAAGTCATTTTGCCCTACTTAGAGATAAGAAAATAGTTACAATATGTTCCCATACTCCCACTTATTCCTTTTATGTGCAATTGAAGTTTATTATTCTATTTTTTCTCCCTTTTATCTTTCAGCATATATTTTCTTTACAAGTATTAGAAATTCTAGTGTAGTGGGAGGGAATGAATTTAAATGGCTGATCTGAAAGTTTTACCCGATTTCTCTTTGTTTGTCATTCCAAAGGCTTTTTTTTTTTTAATAATTTTTACTAAATGATTTCAAATCTCTTTTGATTTTGATTTGTGAAAATGTCCTGTTGAATATTTATCATTCCCCACCAAACAGATGATTACAGAGCAGTTTTGTTCTCAGTCCTAAACAAGTCATCCCATCAGCTTTTAAGATGAAGTCTAAAGGATGGTGAAGTTACATTTAAACTGAAAAAGGAATTATAGTGTCATAAAATGGCTTGGGTTGGAAAGGACCTTTAGGCAATCTAGTTCCAACCCCATTGCCGTGGGCAGGGACACCTCACATTAGATCATATTACCCAAGGCTCTGTCCAACCTGGCCTTATACGCTGCCAGGGATGGAGCATTCACAACTCCCCTGGGCAACCCATTCCAGTGCCTCACCATCCTCACAGTAAAGAACTTCTTCCTTATATCGAACCTGAACTTCTCCTATTTAAGTTTGAGCCCATTACCCCTTAGTTTTCCTTAGGTAAGTTTAACATTACCCCTTAGGTAAGGTTAACATCACTGCAAATTCAGTCAAAGGAGAGTTCCCATTTGACTCCTTTGACACAGCACACAGGGTACTTGTGTAGTCCTTCAGAGTCAGAATATGCTGGCTGCAGTTAATGAGTTCAGCTGATTAATGATCACTCTGGGTCAGTATGGCTCTTTTGCTGTCTCTCTAGTTCCTTAACAGCTTCACTTATTCAGCTCAGAAAACACTCTTTAGCTACACAGAAATTCTCCTGATGTATTAAGATGAGAAGGCTTGATATGTACCTAATTCAAACCTCAAAATAGTTTGCTTTTTACCCCTCCCATTATGCGTATGGGAAGATTGTTCCACAGTCTTACTGCTTTAAGGAGCAGGAAGACTTTTTTGGTATCTACATTCAGTCTATTAAAAGACAATTGAATGCAGGTGTTGGATGTTCTGCTATCTGTTGAATGAAATTGGTATCCTGTCAGTTATGGTTTTGTTCATATTACCTGCGCTAATCTCAGACAGCAGTTGTTTCTGTGCCAAGAAGACATTTTCCAAGTCAGACACCCTATAAGTGCTTCTTATAAACAAAATTAAAACAAAACCATCCTGATTTAGAAAACTTTTCTTTTGCAAATTCATTTGTTGTGTATGAAATGAAATTTCAAACCAGTGCAATTTCTTTTTAAGTGGAAGTCCCAAGCTCTGTTCAGTGCTGTTCAACATCTCAGTACCAATTATGGTGCATACTCAGACTGAGCCAGCAAATTTGCTTTGACCAAGTCTGTGCTGTGTGTAAACACAGGCCTTTCTGTGCCCAGAGTTAGCAAACTAGCAGTTTTCATGCATACTGAAGAAAGATTCACTTAAAGAGATAATGTTACAGAATAATGGATTATTCCCACAAACCATCTGTTCTGCTCCTACGCTAAATTAAAAAAAAAAAAAAAATCTGAATTCAATTCCTTTGTTTTGGTTAAAGGTTTCTTTGCAAATTATTGTTTCTGAACTTCAGGAAACAGAGAATGCCTTAACAAAACCCTGGATTGGAAGAGAAATGTAATTCTTCCCTGTATACTGTTAATAAATGGATGCTAGTTATCTATGGGTTGTTAACAGTTTTAGAACCTAAACCTCTGTAGTTTTGCTGTAAAACAGGGAAGCTATTATATCCATCCTGTCAGAGGATTCAAGAGAAAGTGAGTAAGAAAACCCCAGGGTATGAGATCTGCCATTCATAAGAAGCTTCAGCACTACTTCTCTGATTTAGGAAAGCAGCATGTTTTTAAAGACATATCTTTGGTGCCATACTTCACTAGCTGTCTCAAAAAGCATATCTAATTTTCTCCTCTGGGAAATGCTTTGCACAAACTTCAAAGTTCACAAAATGCAGGACCTAATCCTTCCTTGCTCTTCTGTCTGGTCCCTCTCTCTGCTCTCTCTCAGCCAAGCTCCCCTGCCACCAAAGGGCCCTCCAGTCGGTCATCAGGATGTCCTCCATCCTGCTAATTGGGGGGGGGGGGGGGGGGGATTGTAAGAAGAAGGGTACCCCCACAGTACTGGTACTCCCTGATACCAGCCATGCAAAACTTATGCTGGCTATCACAAGACAGCCCCAGCACAGGTCTCTCTGATATCCAGGGACTGATATTTAAGACCCAGTCTTAGCTAGGCAACAAATGTGGGAACCATATTTCCTTAGTACCTGTCTTCCACAGCCCCACCTTTTAATACATCAAAACTAAGTGTCGTAGTGTATAGAATAAATAGAATCCTCCTTGATTGGGCCCCAGAAGAATGCATCTCAGGTGACTAAGAATGGCTAACAGAGAAGAACTGCTAGACCAACAGAGTACTTGTTATGGCAGTTAAATTTCTCTACCCTTTACAGATTTATCTGTCCTGCCTGCTCCACATTCATGTCTTCCACGAGTTGAGACATGGGTAGGAAGGACAGCTTGCCTTCTCTGCAACATCCTCATTCTTGCTGATGGTATTATTCCTTTATCATGTGCATAGTAGAGGCTAGAGAAGGCACAAGAGAAATATCACAAGCTGCTGGGTATCTTGCATTTGATAAAATCTACACAGTAGACAACTGCAAAGCCTGCTCATGAGGTACCAAGAGGTGTGAAGAAGAGGTGTACTTTAATTTCTAACATGTTACAACTGCTTATAGCTACTCCTGTTCAAAACCCAGCTGAAACAGCTGTTGTCCATTGAGTCCATTATGTGAAAAGCTTTTTCATCTGCTGGTTTATAGATGAGTACATCCATTTACTATGGCTGCTTGTGTTGACCTGAATTAGGACAGAGGGTTTCAGAGTCATCAAAATAAAAGCCTTCATGGATGAAGAAGAGCTGATGATTTATACTTCCCTGCATTTACAAGCTGAATGCATTC